GATTTAAGCAGCAGACAGGCAAAGGCCAGACTTGGAGATCATAGGCTCAGTTAGAGCAAAGTAGGCTCAACAGTCTTGGTTTCTGCTATATCCTTGGGGCCTATCACAGTGCTGTCCTAATCCTAGGGCTCAAAAGTCACCAAATTTAACTGAATTGAAATCACCCATCCTTGCAGAGGCCTAGGGGACCTTTGTCACAGAGGTCCTATGGACCTTTCTATTTGTCACAAGGGTTTTGCTTCACCATCAAAGACCTCACTCCCTGCCCCATTCTGTCCATCTTTCCTAGAAGGCAGGAGTTCTTCCTGGGAGCTGCCTGGGCACTCAGTGAAGATGATAGAGCAAACAAGCCCTACTGTAATCCACTCTGATCCGGACAGAGCTGGAGTTCAGTGGAGAGAGGGCTTTGTCCCATGGCCTGAGGTCCCTGGTGATAGAGGGTGATTCTCAGAAATGTCCTTTGGTTTGCCATAGGAGAGCCACAGAGGAGTCAGGAGATAGGGCCCCCTCTAAGAGACATCCCTGAAGACAATCAGAACTAAGTCTGATGGAGGGGCCCGAGCAAGCTGCCCCTTCCCCCGAACTGTCAGTCATGTCTGAACCTCTGTTGCCTGGGGTAGGACACATGGGCTGGTCAGGAAAGGGCATAAGTGCATGACTTTCCACCTGGGCCTGTTCTTCCCCCATTCCATGGAACAGAGATGGGTGGGGGGCACTCCATGAGAATTGGGATCCTAGTGGGAAGGATCACAGAAGGGTTTCAGGTGGCATTTTCTATAGTTTATTGGAAACAATTTGTGTGCCTATCTCACTCTTTCTGCAAACAGAGCTCCTCAAGGGCAGGTCCTACAGTCTTCTCTGGACCTGGCACTGAGTAGGAGTTGGGTACATGCCAGCTAAAGGAGGATAAGTGCATGCATCCATGAGTAAGATAGGCAAAGCCAGCCCAGAGGCCCGTCTGGGGAAACACAGAAGGGCAAGGGAAGCAGTATGTTTTGACGTGGATGCTTACAACTTGAAGAAACTGTGGCTTCATTATTTTTTCTTGTCACAACAAGCCTTCAGAAGCATGTAACTCTAATAGCAATGGAGCTCAATTAGCTTTCTTGAGAGCAATGCATGGGCGGTGGGGTTAGGCTTGTGGTAAACATTTCTGACATTTTTTTACTGCCTTTTTTTCACCTAATGCAAACAAAGACTTGCATAATGCAACAGGAAAGGAATTATGCAGGCAAGACAACAAACAAATTCTGTACCTTCCAGCATTATTCCTCTTTCCCACTCTACCAAGAGCTATGGCTAGCAGAAGACCCTGGTATACAAGCGAGGTTGTCCAGGCCAGCCCAGGTGGGCTGCTGAGCAGGACAAAGATCAAGTCTCTTGTTTGTAGATTTGTGTCAACCTGAGGCTTGCTTGGGGGGCTGCCTTTTTCCCTATGTTAGTGGGTGGTGCCAACAAACCTTAGCCAGGAGGGAAAGCCTCTGCTTCTTTGGGCTTCCTTCCTTCCTTCCTCTTCAGTTCTGTTTCCCTCTCCCAGAGGAATATTGGGGGCAAGAAGCCAATTTCCTGAGTTGCTTCTCACTGGGAGGTGAGACAGGCTTCAGTAGCACTATAGCAAAAAGAAAAGTACAGAGTTCAGGGAGCCCTGTAGATAGGAGCCAGCTCTCCCCAGCCTCTCTGGAATAGTCCAAAGCCCATGGCACTACAGCATCCAGATGCAGTCTCTCCTCTGCCATCCTTCCCCATTCTCTTCCACCTCTGATCTCTGCATCTGCTACTCTTGCCTGCAGTTTGCCATTCTTCTTCACCCCCATAGACATCTTCATCTTTGGATCCTGTGCCTCCCTGTGGAGGCCACCACAATGAATGCATCGGCCCAGGGTGAACTGGACTGTGGGAGGAAGCAGGAAAGACCCAGAGTCTGAGCTCTGCCCCTCTTCCCCTTCCTGGGGCTGATCCGCATGCTGCCTTACCTATGGCCCAGCTGGCCTCTGGGTACAGTTCCTGGGGTCCTACTATCTCTTCATTCTCCCAAAATTTGCCTTCTAGTGACTAATCATTCCACTAACCCAACAGTGAGCTGGCTCTGACTGGGTCTTTTCCTACCTGGATGGTTTTCTTTTTTTTTCCTGATTCCATTTTCACTCTGGTCTGAGAGCACAGGTTAGAGAAGCAAGAGGACACATGTCTACCCATCAGTTCCATTTTGGCATGTGGATTGATTCTCCTCACATCTGGCCTTCTCCAAAATGGCTGTCATGTGTCACGTGTCATGCTGAAGGAAGAAGATACCTTCAGCAAGTGAAGCTTAGGGAGCTGAGAAACTCCTGCAGGGTCTCTAGGTCCATCCTGTCCCTGGTGGGGCAGTTGGAGCCAGGAGGGAATGGTACCAGACACACCACACAGCTGGTTTGCACAAACTGAGAGATTTGTTTATTCACTCGTCATAAAGTACAGTCAAGCCTAGTGAATTCTCCTAGGTGAGTGAAGATAGCTCATCAACAACCGCTGCATGAGGAGAAACTGAATGCAATCTCAGTACTCTCCCTGTTATTTATTAGGTCAGAAGCTAAAGCCAAAGATCTCTCTGGGTGTTTTTAAGCCTGGTGGTTGGGGGACCCCTTGGAAATGCTGGTGAGCAGCATGGAGAACCCAGCCCAACCATCAGCCCCTGAGGGCCTGCTGAAGGGCAGCCCAGGGGATAGGACAAAGCATACAAGGTCCTGCTGTTGAGGAGCCCCAGTCTAGGTCAAGAGAAAGGAAATAACCCCTAGGGTGGTGAATAAAAATGGGAGACTGAATCAGAGCCCCAGACAATCAGAGGCCAGCACCATCCCACGCTTGGCAGGAGTGCCTGGGCTGATTGCCAGGGGTGGATGTTGACAGGGCAGGAATGTTCCTGGGGATGCTCCTCAGAGGAAATGGAACAGGGAGAGTTGAGAGGAGAGGAGGGGCACCACTGACCCATACTTCTAGGTCCTCCTGGGTCCTCTATGCTGTACTCTTTGTCATCAAGGCAGCAGAGAACCTGGAGTTCTGCTAACAGGCAGGAATTCACTCTGAGCAGGGAAACTCCCCAGGCCTGCTGGCTGGGTATAGCTAATTACCCCCACAGGAAATAGGGGCATGTTGATTTAAATCTGTGGAAAGCTACAGCTCTTGTGGCTTATACAAAAACAAAAAATAAACATCTTTTGCCATTTTCCAAGTAGCCCAACCCACACTGACTGGTGACTGAAGCCAGAACAGCCTGGGTTGGGACGAGGTCAGGCCATTGGTCTGCCCATAGTGCTTGTGCACATGTTCTTCCCCAGAAGAAAAGGTGTGGCATAAGACCCCCAAATCCCAGACTACCACCAGAGAGACAACTAATAAGAGAGCTGTCATGTGTGTGCCAGGCACCTGTCCTTGTGTTTTACTACAATCAGCCACTACACCCTTATAACCCCCCATATTAGAGGGGTTACTAATATCCTAACTTTGCAGACTAGGAAATGGAGGCTCAGCAAGCCTAAGAGTGGTGGGGATGACATATGGACTCTTGTGGAGCCTAAATGTGCACATGTAGTCACCAGACTCATGAAGCTAAATCAAACATCCTATAGCACAGGAGGAAACACAGTAAGGACCATTATAATGCAGGCAGACAGGCTTTCCTCATCCAAGGTAATACCAGTAAGGCCAGGCAGTTTAGTCTGAAGCACAGCAGATAATAAGGTCAGAAGAAAATGCTAGGAAGTGGGGGCTCTGCATTTCCTCTTTCTCTTACCTGCTCCTCCCAACCTCTGGGTTATCGGTGTTCACTGGGATCCCTGGATTATTCCAGGTCAGGTTAGATCTACTGACATCCTAAATGATATATTCCTTATCATTAGGAAAATTAAATAGGTTCAAGTTACTTAAGCCCTTCTACACAGCCATGATTTACGAGGCCAAAAGTGCATTGGAATATCATGTGGATCTTCTGGGAAACATTCTCTCTCAGGAAAGCACAGGCTTATGTGAGAAGCCATGAGGCAGATAATGCTGAGTAGTGTGCAAACACCAGTCTGTAAACATGAGACAGGGGAAAAGAAATTCAGTGAGCTCTCAGGTTAATGCAGAGGCAACCTGCAGCCCCTCATCTAGACACTCTTTGGGAACCACAGCTCAAGGCCTCAAAAACATCAACTCCTCTTCCCCATCCCCAAGGTCACTCTCGCAGGGCCTGCTGAGGTGGCCTTTCAGCTGACTTCAGGCCAGTCCTGACAGACCCTCCATCTTTCGCCGGGGCGCTTCCTGAGACTCCTGTTCCATGGCACTAGGCCTCAGCGTGAACCCCAGATGGTTCCCATTGCCATCTGGATAAAGTCTTCACTCCCCAGCTGGCCTTCGCGACCCTCAAGATCCGGCCGTACCACCCTGTCTCTTTCCTGCTACGACCTTGCGTCTCCGAACACTCTTGTTCCTTTGCCTTTGCCTTTCTAACTCCTATGCATCCTTTGAGGCTACATTCTGATGGCCCCTCTCCGAGGACTGTCATGACGCCCACCCGCTGCAACACTCAGGTTACCCGAAGGAGAGCTGTCACTCCCGAGTTCCCAGAGACCGAAAGCGCCACTGACTCCGGAGCAGGGCACGGCGCGACACCCCTGCGGCCGATTCTAGTGAGCGGTGCCCCTCCGCACGGGTCCAGTGGATCGCTCCCGCTAACCCCCACGCAGCTCCAGTTAGCACAAGCCAGCCGCGTCGGCCCCAGAGGGCGCATGCGCGGGCACTGGCGGCGGTTTCCCGGCGACCCCGAGCCTGGCGGGAGCGCGCGCAAGGAGGGGGCGGGGGACGTGAGCAGGGAAAGGGTGCGCGGGACGCGCATGCGCAGCGGCAGGCGGCGGCGTGAGCCAAGCTGGGAGATGGCGGCGGCGGCGGCGGCGGCGGTGGCGGTGCCGAGAGTGTGAGAACCGCCCGGGAGCCGCCGGCCCGGGCGCAGTGCGACCCCTAGCCTGCCCGCCCTCCTGCCAGCCATGGGCAACGAGGCCAGCCTGGAGGGCGGCGCTGGCGACGGGCCGTTGCCTCCCGGAGGCTCCGGCCCCGGCCCGGGCCCCGGCGCAGGGAAGCCGCCTTCAGCACCGGCCGGCGGCGGACAGCTCCCCGCGGCGGGAGCAGCGAGGGCTGTGGGGGTACCACCTGTCCCTGGCCCCGGCCCCGGCCCCGGCCCTGGCCCGGGCAGGTAAGCGCATGTCTCGGCGCCCGGGGGGCGGTGAGCTGCATCCTGAGGCCGGGGCCGAGGCTCGGGATCCCACGATCTAGTGTGGACAGCGAGGTTCGACGTCCGGCCGCACTTTGAACCCTACGGGATTGGCGTGAGATGGGTGGTCGCAGGAAGCCGGCCTTCCTTTCCAGCTGCCCCGCCTTGGCGAGGCAGGATGACGAGCGCAGGGTCAGTCGGGGCCTGCAGACCGTGACTCCGTCACGAACCCCAAATTCGGTTCTTCCCAACGCCGGGGCCCGACCGCTCAGGAGGGGCTTATGTAACCTTAGCCTGGTCCCTCCGCACAGGGAATCAATGGGATGGAAAACGTCCTCCCTGTCTGCTGGTGTTTGCATGTGTCCATTGTGTTGGGCCGAGGAAAGAGCACAATGGGAGTGGCTGTCAGGGAAGATAAGTGTCACTGCGAGAAACAGAGAGATATGAAAATAGTTGAACCGTGAACTTGGTCTTGCGTTTTCCTCGGGCATTTAGTGGCTGTAATCATCTTTGGGGGAAGGAAAATTGCCCAGTGGACACGAAAAAGGTACTTTTTTAAGCCCAAGAATATTAACAGGATCATGTGCTTTCACCAGGATTTAGTGAAACACTTTGGGGTGAATCAAAAATGCTATTGAGTCATCTAGCACCAGATGTGTTCTCCTTACCTTATGATTTAGATCACCACCTCAAACCACATAGAATGCTTTAAACAGAACATATCTCATCAAATACCAGGAAACCAGCTTGTTTTAAATGTATGCCAACCCAGGTCCTGCAAAAACAATCAAGTGGCAATGAATGCACTGGAGGGGAATGTCAGTATATAATAAGTCAGTAGACTGAAAACTCAGGAGAACTACGAAGAGATGACAGGATAAAATGGAAGGCATTATCTTTGTACCAAATAGGCCTGGGGAGTAGCAAAACCCGCAGGAGGTTGCAGGGAGGTGCTCCTGGTTCCATGTGAGTCTGCTGATATATGTTGCCTTGGCTTTTCTGTGTGAGAGCACATAAACTGTGAGGGAGCATAATTTTTGATTCTTCAGTTGCCCAACTGTGCTTCTCATGTGTTTATTTCTTCAGAAGTCAATTCTTAGACAACTAACAGTAATAAATGACTTTTAGTATCCTGAAACCTGCCTCAGATAGGCCAGCCTGTGAGCATCCTTTTTTGAGGTGGGATTTGCCCATTTTCCATTAGCTATTACAGTAATGCAGTTGGATAGCACACAGCTCTTAGCACTGCAAACACTATCCATTTTGCTGTGTGTTCAGTTGCTGTTTGGGTTTTAGCTTGAGGGAGGCTCACCAAGGCTTCAGTGCTCTCCCTCCAAGAGAAATGTACAGTCGAATGGAAAAACACCTTGTTATTGGGAGTTTTCTATATGGGGAATTTGGCATTTCTCTTCTGGTAACCAGATAGTCTGCTCTGCTTGTAGTTTACCAGATGTTGCAGAGCCAAGAATGTGAAATTTTCGAAAGACTTGGATAGCTCAGAGGGACAGGAAGGAGGCTGGTGTCTACTGCTTATATTTCTTTTTAATGTTTCATTTCTATTTTGTCTGTACATTCTGCTTCAGGGCAGACCCATGAACTGCTGTGGGTGAGGGAAACCATGGATTTAGCAGTCATACAATCTCTTACCTGGCTGTGGGCAAGCCTCACACATGGGTCTGTGGTGCTGAGATCCCGTGACTATCAGGCTCAGGAGGTGAGCTCAGAACTGGGGACCCTTAGGAGGTACAATTACTCTTCCAACTGACATTCAGCTTATCATAGCACCTCAGCTGAGCAACACCTCCGTGGTCTGTCTCTCCTTCAGCATTGGAATGGCTTCTGTTTCCTCTCACCAGAGAGTCTCAGGTACCTGATGCCAAATTTAGCATGTTCTGTTCTGAGATGCTGCTGAACAGATTGGCCCATTGATGGAGCAAAAGCCCTGTGGCATGTGCTTCTGGGCATTCAGGAAAGAGCATTAGCACAGGGACATATTTGTTTCTAGCAAGACTGTGAATTTTGAGGCAGTCAGAAACCTTATGGAAGTGGGTAGAGAGGGTCGGGTAAAGGGGAGATCATTTTACTCACCACAGAGGGAGATGGAACTGAGGTTCTGGGGAGGGTTGGTCCTTGCTCTTTCCTACTGCCATATTAACCCTTGTCACCCTAGCTTGAGTTAGTCTTTTCATCTTCATACTGAACTGACTTGTGCTCTGTGCGGGGGTGGCTTCAGCATTTGTGGGTGAAGAGCCTGACTTGAATCCATCAACAGCAGTGCTGTCATACCCATAGTGCTGCCTCTTAGTGCATTGGGGTAATGTGGGGCTTTGGGCATTGAAGAGTCCCACAAGGAAAGTCTTTCTGCTTCCGGTCTCAGGGTCACCATGTACAATTATATAGTCTGTGCCTTATCCTAAGGAGTACCAGATTGGGATAAGGCTGAACTCTGTCCCAAGCTTCACTCTCTAAGCTGTGTACCCTGGTGTGGGCTCCATCCTCTTAGAGAAAAGGGCATCTTTCATTCATACATTCATTCACTTATTTATGGAGTTATGCCTAATGTACAGTGGGATACACATATTGATGGGATTTTACCCATACATATACCCATGATCCATGATACACCATCAGATCAAGATAGAACTTTATCAGTAAACCTTATCAGTACCCCAGAAGGTACCTTTTTAAATAATTGCTCACACAACAAAAAAAAAAAAGAAAGAAAGAAAAAAGAAAAAGACTGCCCCCAAATAATCACACAAAGGAGCCATGTCAACTAATGGCAGCCTATCTAGTCTACACCACATCTGTAGACTTGTGTATGTTTTGACATTTTCAAATTGACTTTCAGTCAATCAGCTAAGGTGTATTTACCAGCTATCAAGAGCAAGCACAGTGCTTGGCTTTGTGGAGTGTCTGGAAGGGTATATGGTGCTTCCCAGTCCTCCAGCACCTCACAGACTGGTCGGTCAGATTGCTCTTGAAGAGCTCTAGGAGAGACACTGTGGGCAGTTCAGTGTCTGAGAAGTGTCAAATAGGCAGTGCTTCTAGGATTGTCAAGTGGGAAGAGTGGAGAGGCAGAGCCAGACTTCAGGGGAGGTAGAGACCCAAGGCATCTTGAAAAAATGATAGGGTTAGGAGAGGTAGAGAGAGAGAAATGGCATGAGGAGTGTGGTCTACATGGGCAGTGACAGTGAGCAGAGAAGTGAGGCTGAGTGCAGGGGGCTGGAGGAGAGCTGGGGAAAAGCCAGGCGAAGCACCTCTCCCTCATTACCCATCAAAATCCATGATCAAGGCTGAAGTTGTCTCTACTCACTTCTTGCCTATAAGCCAGGGAGACATTTTGAGCCAAAGGCAGCTGGGCACAGAGAACTTAGTGATTTGCTGGAAGATGGGTGAGGCTGCTTTGAGAATCACACTCAAGAATTCTCTTCTCAAAATGGATTTGTCAGGCCTCTAGTCTGGGATTAGCCAGACCTGTTATATCAGCTAACAATCAAGCTCTAGAGAAATCTGGGACTAATTTGTAAAGATAAAATGAAAGGACACAATTGCCAGCTTTGGAAATAATTCTCCTTTATCATTTAGAGATCTTGTTTGGCCCCAGTGGCTGGATTCTTACAGAGGGCATGTCATGGGTGTGCACTAAAGTGACATCACATCTGAATGGTGATGATGTCAAAGTTTTACCAAAAGGGGGCAACCATTTTTGCATCTCTTGCTATGGAAAGAAGGGTAGCTTTGATAATATAGTTTTCTCAGCATTAGTAAGACTGATAGAATGCTGTTGATAAAAACAGCAATGGAGAGATTGAGAGATTAGGGGGAGAATGGCTATCTTTAAAAAATTTTCTTCTTATTGGGGAAATTTTCAAACATACATAAAAATAGAATAGTCTAATGAACTGTGTTCCCATTGCCCAGCCACCACCATCATCAACTTATGGCCAATTGAATTTAGTCTATCTCCCTCACTTCCTGCTTCCCACAGGAGCAAATTCAGACATCCCAACATTTCATCATCAGTATTTCAGTGTGCATTTCCAAGAAATAAGGGCTTTGTATAAACAACCACAGCACCATAATCACATCTGAACAGGATAACAATCCCTTCTTTTTTTTGGAGACAGAGTGTCACTCTGTTGCCCCAGCTAGAGTGCTGTGGCGTCAGCTCACAGCAACCGCAAACTCCTGGGCTCAAGCAATCCTACTGCCTCAGCCTCCCAAGTAGCTGGGACTACAGGCATGTGACACCATGCCGGGCCTATTTTTCTGTATACCTTTAGCCGTCCAGCTAATTTCTTTCTATTTTTTTAGTAGAGATGGGGTCTCGCTCTTGCTCAGTCTGGTCTCTACCTCCTGAGCTCAAATGATCCGCCCACCTCAGCCTCCCAGAGTGCTAGGATTACAGGCGTGAGCCACCACGCCCGGCCAACAATCCCTTCTTAAATTCAGCAAATATCCAGTGAGGGTTCTGTTTTTCTGATTGTCTTATAAATTTGCTTTTACAGTTGGTTTATTTGAATTTTGATCTAAATAGGGTCTACACATTGCATTTATCTGATACATCTCTCCAGTTTCTTTAAATATGTAGTTCCTTCTCTCTTTTTCCCCATTACAATTTATGTATTAGAGAACTGCGTCATTTGTCCTGTCTCATAGTCTGGATTATGCTGATTGCATCCCTGTAGTGTCATTTAAGATGGTTCTCTGTCCCATAGTTTTCCTATAAACTGCAATTCTATCTAGAAGCTATTCCAATTCAAATGTCATTCTTTTGGCCAAGAAATTCTACCTTTTTTTTTTCTTTTAGAGACAGGGTCTTGCTCTGTCACCTAGACAGAGCGAGAGTGGGCTAGAGTGCAGTGGCATGATCATAGCTTCACCCAGCTAATTTTTAAAAATCTTTTGTAGAGATGAGGGTCTCATTATTTTGTTCAGGCTGGTTTTGAACTCATGGCCTCAAGTGATCAGGCCTCGCA